GGCATTTTGAACCCTGATTATACCCAGGGTATGTCCAGTGGTTTCGGGTTGCAGGGGTAGATGGTGGAGCCAGCAGAGAATTCCCATGGGGCAGAAAGGAGTCTTGCGGAGAGTCCCAGAAATAGGCCCTACAGGCTGGAAGCAGGTAAGGATTATGGAAACAGCATGACACCTGGTCTTATCCCCTTACCCAATATAGCCTTGCTGGCAGCCACAGGAGAATTAAGGGAGTTGTAAGATCACAAGAGTCGTCTCACTCAGTTCTCTAACACTGTGGGTCTCAAGTAACCTTCTAGAGCATCCTCAAGTGAGGTCAACACAGAGGAAGGGAACATTCTCCTTCCCACTTGGGTACAAGGACAGCAGTGCTGGAGTGAATGGGAGGATCTGCACCTTTGTGGGTGCAGAGAGACACACAGACCCACATGGCAACTGGTGTATGGCCGGGGGCCTGACTCTGGAGCACAGGCAACACCCTTTGAGAATTTCCACAAACACTGGGGGAGGCTTTGGAAAGAACCTGGATTTCTCTATGAGCAGGGAGGAGTCGAGAACTAGTGGGATTCAAGTATTAATGGGAGAGTGACCTCTTTTGTCTCCCCAGACTGGTGGGGCTTGGGGGAGGGAAGAGATAGGCACCTGTATTACCTGGGAAGTGAGAGCAACAGGTGCTTCACCCAACTCGTGGTAGTAAGAACCAAATAAGAAAAAGAAAAGCAACGTGTTTTGCAGATTGAAGAGCACCATGAAAGGAAACGGAAATGGTGTGAGAGGGAGGGAGAGAGATTTGGCTGAAATTATCCAGACAGATTTTCTGCATTAGGTGTTCTTCATCTTTCTGGATCATAGACTCCTTTAAGAATCCGTCAACATCTAGGAAGCCCAGGAAAAATGCCCCCTCCTCCCCTTCCTAAAACACAAACTATTTTGCCTACTCCAGGATTCTTTTTGTCCCCACACCCTGAAGTCCTCGACCCCAAGTTACCCTGATTTCCATGAACATTGGCCTTGCAACCACACCCATCACCCTGGTATTTTTCTTTAAAGAACAAATCTTAGTCAAAGGTTACGGACTATGTCTGCAATAAGGTCCTCACTTCCAAGGTGGCTCCCTTTCCTTCTGGCCACAGCTCTGGTTTATATGCTCACGGTCAGCCTCTTGTTCGTGGCTGGCGGCCGAGTCCAGTGGCAGTTACTCGATGCAGCCTGCGCTCAGCATGTGTTGAAATTAAGACATGGAGGTAAATGTCAACTTCCTGAGCTACTAGCTTCGATAGGAAAGGACCTCAGAAGAGCAGCGGGGACGGAAAGAGCAGCGGGCCAGCTGTCAGGACATTCTGGTCTCTGGTCTCGGGCCCCTCATTACCAACGTATGAACTTCAGTAAGTACTTAACCTGAGGTCAGTCTCCTCATCTGTAAAGTAGCATGAAAATAGTTGCTTGTCTTCCAGGGCTTTCAAGAGGATCAAATGAAATAATTGCCTGAGAAAATGCTTTGCAAACACTGAAATGTACAGATATGCATTATTATTATTAAGGCAAGTTATACGTAAATCAAGTGCTTTTGGAATGTTATTGAATCTAAGAAATGAAGGCCTCAGGTTTGGGGGCATTATCAGCCACAGCTTATAATGGAACAGCTGATAAGAGAAGAGAGGGGCGGGGGCCCATGTTGACCAGAGTCTTTTTTGGCTCTGATTCTGGCTTTTATGCCCCATGCCCCAGGCGGAGGCACAAGCCCAGAACATGAACATCTTTCCCAAGAAATAACATCTGATTTGAGTTTTCTTCCGAAAAGGTTTGAGCCCTGCTCAGTATTACAAATTCAGGGTGACTCTCCCACCACCCCTCCCACTTAATCAGCCATTCCCCAGATAAGTACCATTTGATAAGCTCAGGCAGTTTGAGGAAGGAAATGATCATAGAAAGGTCCGGAAGTTTTCTGAATTACACTTGCTTCTGACCTTGGCCAGATCAGTACTCTAAAAGCCACCAGCGTGTGCCCAGAAAGCTGCCTCCATGCGCCCTTGTTAGCATTTCGTGGGTGAAGCCATCCTAGTGTAGTTCATGCATATTGACACTTTAGCACACACCAAGGAGAGCAGCTGTTGGAAGGAGGCTTGACCGAGCACCTGGAGGATGAGTGGTGCCCTGCAGGTCAGCAAGTGTGCTGAGTGCATCCTGGTTGCCCAGAGCGTCCTAGCATCTGGAGACAATGCTTCTGCCTGTCTGCTGCCCTCTGAGTATCCGGGCCAACAAAGGGCGGTGGAGGTGAAATAGCCTTAACCACCCCTTGGCTTTGTGTGCAAGGAAAACCTTCAGTTCCGTGGTTTTAAACAACCAATAATCCTTTGAGGATAACCAGAAAAATCCTTAAAACAGAGCTTCTACATGATAGAACTGGACACACCATAAGTGATCTGTTTTCACAATAAGATTTACAAACCAAGGACTAGCACCTCTTGCTCCTATGAAGACTCTGAGAAAGATGTTCTCTTTGATAATAAAGAGTGGCAAGAAAAGGAGTTCAGAGGCTTGGTATTGTGTTCTGAAAAAGCTCTGGGAACCACGTGGAGATGGAAAGTTGACAGAAATGGGAGGAAAAGAGCAAATTCAGTGTTCAGAATGGTACAGAATCTAGAAATCTATTTAGAGAATCAATCTGTATTTATATAATGGAGGGTAATGATGATGCAAAACTAAAGTTTCAACAAGTTAAGTGACTTTTCCAAAGCCAAGAATACGTGGCAGAAGTCGGTCATGAACGGTAGGATTTCTGAGTCCAGCGCAAGTCCCCTTTCCTAATATCTGTGCATCAGCTGTTGTATTGAATACACAGATCAAGAAGATTTGTTCTGATTTGGGGAATTTCACTGTATTGGCCAAATAACAACAATATCAAATAATAATAATAATAATAATAATGAAACAAAAAACCATACCATCTAGCAGGGTGCCGAAGTGTATAACCTGCAAGTACTACTCCTTCTCTCGCATAAAACCTTTGAGGGGAGTGGCCCAGCCTTCACTCAAAACTTGGACCCACTGAAGATCCAGCTGCAAAACAGGAAAAGCAGGTGAACATTTCCATAAGCTCTGCTGTTCAGCCATCTGGCCCCAGGGCAGCCCTTTCTTATTCAGTTGACAGGAAGATGAAGGCAGAACCTTTTATGTTTTTAGTGTTCCCATGTGTTATGCTGACCCATAATCTTGGGGCCAGATATATTTGAATCTAGAACTCTCCTACAGAAGAGTGGTGAAAAGAGTTCAAATTGAGATGATTTATTTGAACACTTTAGGCTGTATCTATCCTTATGGTGTGCAACTGTGCAGAACATTGACAATTCATTCTCTTCTCCACCACCCACTATTTAGTTGACTGAATTGGGCAAACCATGGACTCTAAAATAAAATTCCAAAATTCTTAGCATGATACTGAAAGCCCTTTAAGCTCCGGCCCAAGGGGCTCATGCAGGCACTTCCACCTCTTCCCATTGCCCGCTTGGGAGCCAATTCACTAACAACACCAGCCAATGTATAGTCTAAACCAGCCGTGGGCAAACTACGGCCCGTTTGAAATGAATAAAACTAAAAAAAAAAAAAAAAAAAGACCATACCCTTTTATGTAATGATGTTTACTTTGAATTTATATTAGTTCACACAAACACTCCATCCATGCTTTTGTTCCGGCCCTCCGGTCCAGTTTAAGAACCCATTGTGGCCCTCGAGTCAAAAAGTTTGCCCACCCCTAAACACATATGTGGTTTCTGGCTTAGCCTCCTTTCCACCTGAAAACTCCTATTCATCCTTTAAAACCCAGCTCCTGGATCACTTCTCTGAAACCTTTCCTGTCATTCTTCAGACTAAAAGAAATTAATCATTAGATTGTTTGAAGTTCTTTATGGGTTTTTTTTACTTTGAAGCCCATTTTGTTATTGGAACTATGATTTCACACTGTAATTATAATTATGTTTCTAATCTGCCTGAAACATTGGAGTGTTCAGAATTTATCTTGTAGACTAAGGGGTTCTGTGTATAAATTTGTCATGAGTTATCAGAGTATAGAGCAGTGATGGCGAACCTATGACACACGTGTCAGAGGTGACACGCGAACTCATTTTTTGGGTGATTTTTCTTTGTTAAATGGCATTTAAATATAAAATAAATGTCAAAAATATAAGTCTTTGTTTTACTATGGTTGCAAATATAAAAAAATTTCTATATGTGACATGGCACCAGAGTTAAGTTAGGGTTTTTCAAAATGCTGACACGCCGAGCTCAAAAGGTTCGCCATCACTGGTATAGAGTCTTCATGAGCTGAAACAGGTTCCCAATGTATTCTGTCTCTTACAAAAATATACAAGGTTTTAATAGACAACAAAAAGATACCAATGAAAACATGGTCACCTTGTATGGACCAACTAACACGGATCCATAAAAAGGCCAAGTCTGTGCAGAAAAGCCTACAGGGGTTGCATCTGTATCTTCCAGGCAGCAGAATAAATGCAACTAAAGCTGCCTCCCTCTCTCCTCAGACCAGATGCTCCCAGATGAGGAAAGAGCAGAATTTGCAGAGTAGAAAAAGATTGAGGCATTCATATCACTTCAGTTCAGGGTTGTTTTTTGTTTTCCCCAAATTCTTTCTCGATTGCCCAAGAAGCACTTGTGTTCCTGACAAGCAATCTTCCAGCAGCTGCCAATGATTACTGCCTATTGCACACACGTTGGCATAACTGAAGGGATGAAGACAATCAAGCAACACTGTCCTATGGAAATACAGTTACCTTCCTGGCCTGCCTCTGTGCTCAGCTGCCCTGTGGCAATTCTTGGCAACAGCTTTGATTGGAGAAGAGGTTAAAAGACATTTGACAAGATGAAATGTTTTTCATTATGAACACCGCATTTCCCTTATTCATACCATGAATATTAAGAAGAGTAACTGTACATGAATTATCATGATATGAAGCGTAATTCCCCTTGGCCAGCCTGCACCCTCTTACCTTGGTAATTGGCAGGGACGGGAGAGCTTCCGCCTCAGCTCGGACTTGGTCCAGTTTGTTTTCCGGCACAAAGAGCTCGTGGATGCCATTGATTACAGTATGGGGTACAATGTTCTGAAATGAAGCAGCAGGGGGGACAATTTGGAATGAAAACTACAAAGAGGATGCTTCAGTAAGCAGATGATCTTTCCTGATCTTATTCAATTTAAAAGCAAAGACAAGACAAGCAGGCCACCCACCTGCTCTTGCAGAAGTTCCACCACCTGCTGGACACAGTCGCTCACGGAGCACGAGTCGGTTTTAAGCACCAGCTCGGGCGTCTCGGGTTTCTCATAATCAGAATCAATGCCTGTAAATCCTGCGAGGCAGAGGGTGGAAATCACATCTGCCCCAGCAGAACCATCTTCTTAATCAATAAGACATAACACATGTTGGAATAATGTGCTAAGCTGAGAATTCAGATTATAACAGGAAAGGTCACCCAGCCATCCTGGACCGCTAGCCGTACGTGAGAAAATACACAGCTGCATTTTCAATAGAGAAAGTCCCAAATGAGCCACAAAATCTGGCTGTCCGAGCCCCCTGCAGCTGATCAGAATGAAAAGAAGATGGAAAAACCCAGGCGCACTCCTACGCACACGCTCACACGGACTCATCCATGTTAGTTCCCTGAAATTTACTGCTCATCGCTGAGGTGACAGTTCTTAAAAAATATGAACCCATAGCCCTTGGAGTGCGGTTAGAGTGTCGGCCCTCGGACTGAAGGGTCCTGGGTTTGATTCCAGTCAAGGGCACGTACCTCGGTTGCAGGCTCGATCCTCGGGCCCCCAGGGCCTGTGTGGGAGGAAACCAATGGATGTGTCTCTCTCACATTGATGTTTCTCTCTCTCTGTCTCTCCACCTCCCTTCCACTTTCTCTAAAAAAATAATCAATGGAAAAATATCCTCAAGTGAGGATTAACAAAAAACCAACCAGACAAACAAAAAGATTAGTTGCAATGTGGAATCTAAAAGATAAAAAAATATAAAATAAAAAAACTATTTAAAAATATGAACCCACGTTTTAATAAGCCCATGGGCATACTGCAGAAATGAGGGTGGGACAGAAGTTGTGTATGCTATATGCAATTTTAGAAAACAGCTTCTGAAACTCCCGACAGGTTTCTGGAGACAGACCAGGAAGAATCGGTGACAGACGCAAGAGGCAAAGGTGCGGCTGAGCTGGTTCTCCTACCTTTGATCTCCCCAGCTCGGGCTTTTTTGTAGAGGCCTTTGACGTCTCGGCTTTCACAAATGTTTAGAGGCGCATCTATAAATATTTCAAAGAAGGGCAGTCCCGCCAATTCATGGATTTTGCGGGCATTCTCGCGATCCTGGAAAGAAAATTTCACTTAAGAACATAAGAAGAGGTTTCCCCATGAAATTCTTCATCCGAAAACATCATGGGAAGATAACAGTGGGGTCTGTGCTCAGCAGAGGTGGCGGGAGTCTTCTCCTTCAGAGAAAGCCCAGAAAGGTCACTCCAGCGAACATAGCTCTCTTGAGGACTTTCCGAGCACAGCCCGGGAAAGAATCTCTGCTAAAGTTCAGGGCTGGCCACGTGGGAGCACTTCATTCAAAGGACACGTTCCAAGTACAGAGCGTCCTATTGGAAGCTCACAGACAAGCCGGGAGAGGGCCACTCCCCCTCCGTGATTTCAATGAAACACACAGAACCTGAGGCTTGGGGAGAAACTGCTGTTTCCTTTAAGCAGGCTAAGCCCTCGGAGTTTGGGGAGAAATGAAATTATAGAGGCTTAGAGTTTTTCTTGGTTAATGTTTTCTTCCTTTCAGCTCCGGCCAAGTGTGCCTTACAATTGTGTGTGTGGAAGGCTTTCTGTGGTCTGGTGCCCTGGCATCTGGAAATGAAGGACTTCTCTTTATCACCAATATTAAATAGAGGAAATGAGGAAGCAAGTGAGGGGAGCAAGGAACAGGGGGGGAAATTGGAACTTCAACATTCCTCCAGGCCCTCCCCGCTCCCAACTCCTGTTCCTGGCAGTGAGAGCGCGGGGCTGGCAGTGTGTGGAAACCAAATCAGCTTACCTTTGTGAAAGGAGAAATGAAGCTGGTAATGCAGACCAGACCGGCGTCGGCAAACAGCTTGGCCACCTCGGCAATCCGGCGGATATTTTCCTCTCTGTCTCCCGCGGAGAATCCAAGGTTTTTGTTAAGGCCATGACGGACGTTGTCCCCATCGAGGGAGTAGCAGGGGATGGCGTGGGAGACCAGGTACTCCTCCAGAGCAAAACTGATGGTCGTCTTCCCAGCACCGGAGAGACCTGTTCAGAGCAGGCAAGACAAGACAGGCATTGACCCTGATTGTTTAAGATGACAAATTGGAACCTGATCCTAATCGTGACCTGATCCCAACTTTTACCTACTTTAAGTGTACATTACACCCTTATTGCAATCATTTGACTGACCTCAAATCAAAACCCTTAAAATCTAGAAAAAGTCTAGTTTGCTACAAGTCCAATACTTGCAGCATTTCTTTCAGATCTTGAGATGACTATTTGTCCCTTACTAGGACAATAGCCTCTCAAAGCCAGGGAGGTTCATACATGGGGAGACCTTCTGGGGGCTGCATTTGGTTCTTGCTATGTTCTGCTTGGCCGGCAGAGTGTTTTAAAGATTAGAAAGTTGCACATAAAAATCCAGATTTGAGCTTCTCTTGATAAAAACAAGCAGACAAAAAACCAAGATCTGGTGAGAGTGTTCTCACAGCCTCTTGTGACAGCAATCAGCTAGAGTGGAGGGGACAGCCAGCCCTCGGAGGCTGGGAGGCCACCTCCCTTGTCCATGCCCCTAAATAAGCATCTGACCACAGAGCCCATATACTGTCCTTAATTTTAAAAAACTTTTTCGATGATGACTCTTGAAACATCAAGGGTGGGAAGCATCCTGAGCGAGGCTGTGGATGTACTGAGAGCTGCCACACACTCTTGGCTGTCTGGAATCTTTACATGAGAACAGTTACCATGTACCTTTCACCACGGTTTCAAAGCACAATGGCTGGGAACACACTTTATAATTTCAATATGAAGGAAAACATAAGGAGAAAGGGAATTACCTAAGTAATTCAAAAATTACTTAAAATCCTGGAAAAGTAACACTCTACACATTCAATAATCCTACAGATCTCAGAACGTGAAGAGTATTCCATTGTGCAAAGCCACTGTCAGAGAGCACCCAGGCATGAAAGAGGAAAAGTTAGGGGCAAAGAAAAGAAGGTCAAGAGGTCACTACAAAGACAGAGGGTGGAAAGAAGGAAAAGACAAAAAGTACAAGAAAAGCAGAGACAAAAGACAAAGAGCAAAGGTGACTTGATAAGAAAGGTATTACATGGCCCTAGCTGGTGTGGGTCAGTGGATAAAGCGTTGGCCTGCAGACTGAAGGGTCCCGGGTTTGATTCCGGTCAAGGGCACATGCCCAGGTTGCAGGCTCAATCCCCCGTAGGGGGCGTGCAGGAGGCAGCCAATCAATGATTCTCTCTCATCATTGATGTTTCTATCTCTCTCTCCCTCTCCCTTCTGCTCTGAAATCAATAAAATATATATTTTTTAAAAAGAAAGGTATTACATGAAAGGTAAACATGTAATTTCCATATTTTAGTTATGGTTTATCATGCACCTGGCCTTGAGATTGGATCATTAGGACAAGTGGCTATCTGAAGAATGTGTTGGCAATCTCTACAAATCACTGCTGACGACATTGTCTATTATGTAACTTTGTCTATTATGTAACTCATTGCCTATTAGAATTTGTCTGGTTGTAGGGTAGGAGAAATGGAATTCCTGAATCTCTGGTACGCTCTCTCCCAACAGAAAATGAGAGAAATAATAGAACTTTCCTTTGATTTTGTTTCAGCTCTCAGGAAACTAAGAGCTAAAATCACAGTAACAGTATTTTTTTAAACAACTGAATTTATTATAGAATTTGGATATTAATACATCAAATAAGTGATATTACTCTCATTTGTATAAGATTAGGTCATTCATTCAAGTAAAGTATCTTGTCTTTGCCACTTTTATTGTAGAGCCATATCACAATTTATATCAGAAAGTAGATTCTTCATGTAGCCTATTTCAAAGAACAATGTTTTTTCCTGTGGAACAAGCATGGGTCTTGCTAAATGAATCTTTTTATATCATCACCAGGTTTATCCAGTTGATTGGACTTATTTCAAACTTCTACTCAAAAGTGAGATTAACTTTGTATTTGACTTTCCGAATCATCTGCTCAACTACCATTCTGTCATTTCAAATCAAGGCTCAAAAATGGATGACCTGGAAAAAGAACTGAGCAATCTGAATCATGAATTTGACTTGCATTTCTTTCAAACCTTGAGATAACTATTTGTCCCCAAGAAAAAGTAATGTATTACATTAATAATATTAACTTTTTTTTTAGCTATCATTATCATTTTTAAGACATTTTAAAAAATTATTTTTTAAAGAGAAAGAGAGAGGGAGGAAGGGAGGGAGAGAAACATCAATGTGAGAGCAAAATATGATCACCTCCCACTGGGGATGGAGCCCCCAACCTCGGCATTTGACCTGACTGGAAATCAGCCGACAACCTTTTAGTGCACAGGCCGACACCCAACCAGCTGAGCCACACCAGCCAGGTCCATCATTATTATTTTTATTACTATTATATTACTGTGAAGTTTCCCAAGGAGTGGCTATTGAGACAATATGTGAAAGTATTTGTTTTCTTCAGAGGTTAAAAGTAGGGAGAAGTTGTTCTGTTTTTGCACTCCTGTGCTTCCTAAACACTTTTACAAACTACAGGAAGCTGAAATCTTGTAAACCAGCTACTGCTTTTTCAGATGATTGCCTTTAAGTGGCTTTTAAATTCTGAACATTACCATGCATAATGTATTATGCTTATGTCAAAATTAATTTTTCCCATTGATTTTCCTCTTGCATCCACCAAGGATTTTGTTGGACCATGGTAACTATATTAAACTAAATGGCTGCCATATTTGTTTTAATACATTGGAGTAACACTAATTACATTTACCAAGAGCTTTACCATGGACAAGGCACTGCTAAGTGTATATCCCCTCTCTTTCACTTAGTTCTACCTACACCTCTATGAGGCAGGTACTATGTTTCTTCCTTAGAGAGGTTAATTGACTTGTTCAAAGTCACATGGTTAACATAGGCTCAAATCCAAATCTCTGGATTAGAAGTGTTTGGTTTCTTTGGGTTGCCTGGTCAATACCTTACCCCTGCAATATCAGAATAAAAAATAAATGTTGTCCCCTCTTCTACCAGTTCTGTTTCCTTTTTCAAGGGTATTCCATATCAGAAAAAATGGACTCTGTGTGGATGTCCTAATTTAAAAGTTGGGCAAATCCACAAAGGCAAACACACAACATAAAGACAAGCACACAACAAGGAAGAAACAACTGGGACACAGCTGTGCTTTATCTATTGCTGCCCTCATGTCGCTCAGAGGGATTTGGGGGAAACATTTCAGGAATCAAGCCAGGCGAATCCTGCCTTTTGGAATATAGCAGGCTCCTTGCCCGCGGTCTCTCATCACCCTGGAAGCTGGAAAAAGTTGTTGGTCCAGGGATGAATAAAACCAGGAAACCAAAAGCAAGTGCCACAGTCGCTGGAAAAACAACAAAACTTGAAAAAGAAGAAGGAGGCTGATGTAGACAAAAATGGGAAAGACTCAGGATGTCAAGAAAAGAGGCAAGGCACGTCTCTACCTGCCACAGTCATTTAGAATTATTCCCAGGTAAGACTACATCAGCATTTGTGAATGGATAGTAATACCTAAATGATTTCCTAATCTGTATCAACATATCTGTTTATATGAGGTCATCTCTTTTTGAAATATTATGTCTGTAAAATGACCTTGGTTTGTCCTTTTAAGTCCAGGCTATGTCAGACTTTTCCCAGGAATCAACTTTCTCTACATTGTACTCAGAGTATAAGGTGATAGCCCAGGAGTAGCTCTAGTTCTGTTACTAACTCCGCCTTGACATTCTGTGGCTATAAAAACACAAGAAATGGGAGATTCATTTGGTTACCTCAGTGGGAGTAAGTTATTTCTATATGTAAGGGCAATAATCCCCAGCTAAATAGAAATCACCAGTTTTCCTTCTTGCACACAGTTTGATTTTTTTACACAATGAAAAACAATCTCATCAAATGCTAAAATATCAGAAAACATAAAGAATATCTCTAAACATCCAGGACTCTCTGCTTGATGCCAAATGCTTGATGTCATGTTAGAAAAGCCACATTCATGACTGCCAGTAAATGTGTTTAGGCACAGAATTGAGAATTCTGAAATTCCTTAGGCCGAATGGGAATGTCATCATCAACTTGTCCCATCTTTTCCTGACGAAGAGGAGAAAACTGAGAACTGGAGACACTCCACGACGTGATCCAAGTCCTAGTTCTTACTGAGGTGGAGCTAGGAGGCAGCTCTCAGCCTCCTTCAGTGGTCCTCAACCTTCTGGCTCTTTAAATACAGTTCCTCATGTTGTGACCCAACCATAAAATTATTTTCATTGCTATTTCATAACTGTAATGTTGCTACTGTTATGAATCGTAATGTAAATATCTAATATGCAGGATGGTCTTAGGCAACCCCTGTGAAAGGGTCGTTCGATCGCCAAAGGGGTCGCGACCCACAGGTTGAGAACCACTGTCTAATGTTAAAATAAACATGTAATTATGTTATACTGATTCCCTTAACATTGTGTGTCACACATCAATTTTTGATTAAAATATATCAACAGGCCCTAGCTGGTTTGGCTCAGTGGATAGAGCCTGGGCCTACGGACTGAAGGGTCTCAGGTTCAATTCCGGTCAAGGGCTCATGCCCAGATTGCAGGCTCGATCCCCAGTGGGCAGCATGCAGGAGGCAGCCGATCAATGATTCTCTCTCATCACTGATGTTTCTATCTATCTCTCTCCCTCTCCCTTCCTCTCTGAAATCAATAAAGACATATATATATATATATATATATATATATATATATATATATATATATATATATAATCTCAACACGGCATACCTGTCAGCCACACCGTACATCCTCGGAATCCGCCCCTTGTTCCAACGACCTGCCCTCTCTTATTCCTGCTCACATGGTGGGCCTGATAGATGACATTGGTGGATTTGTGCTGGTTCTCCTACAAAGAAAGACAAGATCAAGTACAATAGTTAATAAGCTAATAAACATAATATGTATAAATATAATAAAGTAACCGATTACATTAATAGTCTTCCCCAAAGGAAACTCCTCTTTTATCACTGGCATACAGAGCACATTAATTAATTCTACTACAGACACAGCCTTTAGAATACCCATCATGACTCTTTGAAAGTACAATTTGAATGAGATAATTATTGATCCAATGTAAAAGTTCTGGTTCCATGACATTTTAAAATGTAGTTTTTGCCCTGGCCGGTGTTGCTCAGTGGTTGTAGCGTCATCCTGTGCAGCACAGGGTTTCAGGTTCAATCCCTGGTCAGGGCATGTGGGTGAGGCAGCCGATCAATGTTTCTCTCTCACATCAGTGTGCCCCTCTCTCTCTCTCTCTCTTTCTCTCTCTCCCTCCCTCCCTCCCTCTCCCCCTCTTCCTTCCTCTTTCTCTAGAATCAATGAAAAACATATCCTCGGGTGAGGATTGAAAAAAATACATAAGATGTGCAATTTTTTGGTGAAAAGAAATTTTAATGATGGGATCCAAAGATGGTGGGGTAGAAGGAACCCATAACGGTGGTTAAGTAAAAAGGTTGGGAACTACCCACGTGTATTTTTGGTGTGGAATTGAATTTCTTATGACATGTAATCCAAGTTGCTTAACTATAAAAATCTATGGAGCCTTTTAAACACCACACATGTACACCCATCAGAGCTAAAAAAAAAAAAAAAAGCACCAATATTCTTTGAGCGAGACCCAGAGAAGCTTAGAAAACTCTGGGCCACATAAGGGCCACATTAAATCCTGGAGCACATCAAATCACCTCTTTATGCCGCCTCCTTGGGGAAAAACGAAGAAGGGTACGAATAGGACGATTTGGAGGCTACATGAGATAAAGGATGTGAGCATGCCCTTACCGGCAGCGTCCTCTAGAAATGTGGATGCTGCTGCTCATTCCTCAGTATACCCACCCCTAACAGGAAAAGCAGGAGCCAGCTGGACAAGGACCAGGAAAATCGCTTCAAGACCAAAGGGAGAGAGCCCCCTGCTGGCCTTGAACAGTGCAACCCGTGGGGGCAGGCCTGCTGGCGAGGCCCAGAGCCCCCAGTAAAGGGGCCAGTCAGGCAGGGAATGGACAGTCAGAGGGAGCCAGGAGGAAGATGCTGAAAGCTGGGATCAGCTGGGTTGTCTGAAACCCTCCCCGGCTAGATGCTCGGATCACCCGTCAAGTAAGCCTGGTGAGAACCCAGGATGTGGAAGAGGCGGGATATAGTCCAGAATGCAGCAGGCCAGACAGCAGTGGCTCTCACTTGTGGGTTCATAAATGGGGACAAATTAGTCTAGTCCATGAGACATTCTAGCAGTATTTCCCCTGGCGAGCAAATCCCCTGAAGGTATCTGAGTCTTCTGTGCCAAGTGTACTTTATAGCTTAAGGACAACATTAATGTCTTTTTCTCTAGTTGCTTGTTAATCACTATCATTAAATTCAAGAACATTGAGTCTGGATATCAGGCCCAAAAGCCAGTTCACCTGTTCATTTACTGATTCTTTCAGTAGATTTTTATGTAAATGAGCTCTAACAAGAAAAAATTCCGAGATGTCCTAAGTAAAATTATAGCAGGTCAGAGGGTGGGAGGAAGAAGTAAGAGATTAATCAGTTAAGAGCCTCAGGCCAAAATCAAGAAAAGACGGCTCACGTTCCTGATTATATGTTGAAATTTTGAATCAACTTCCAGGATGCTATCTAAAAAAAAGGCCAACTACCCTAGCGGGTTTGGCTCAGTGGATAGAGCGTTAGGCCGAGGACTGAAGGGTCCCGGGTTCGAATCCAGTCAAGTACATCAGTTGCAGTTTGATCCCGGGCCCTGGTCAGGACATGTGTGGGAGGCAACCAATCGATGTGCCTCTCCCTTCCACTCTCTCTAAAAATCAATGGAAAAATATCCTCAGGTGAGGATTAACAAAAAATAAAAATTAAAAAAATTTAAAAAGGCCAATTGCCAGATGCCACCACATCCTGTTTATGTATGAACTTTCCCACAACCAATTGCCCATAACCAATCCTGAAGTAGGAACGATTTCTTCCTTAGGGACTATGCACCTACCCTGGAACTGCCCCCACTTCCCCTTTTCCCACCCTCCTGCAGCCAATGTAAATTCTTTCAAAACAATTTACATCTTTCATCCCCAAACCCAGTGTATAAAAGAGCCCGTCAGCTCCCGGACAGAGGGCATGCTCATCTTCTCCATCTAGCCCTGCTGCTGGTGGTTTCCCGCGATCGCCAACCTTTCGGACCTAACGGACCACCGGTTGGCGACGGCTGGTTAGACAGTATGTCCCGGGACCTGGTCCTTTTTCTGGCTAGCATATGGCTCCATAAACTCTTTCTTTCTGAAAAGCTTTCAGCCTTGAAGCTACAACTATAGGCACTGGGAATATGGTACTGTACTAAACAAAGCAGAGTCCCTGGCATCATTTTGGGGGCAAATACAGCTAAGAAGATAAGTAACAGGGACCCCACTCCCGGGAGGAGGGGGAGGGTCTCATACATATATCTGTATACTATGTGGAGATATAGAAACACCTACAACTCAATTATATAAAGACAACCCCATCTTTAACATGGTAAGCGCCCAGCCTGTTTTGTCTTCCGGACGGAAAGGATAGTGTCTGTCACCGGTGACTGACTGGGCGCTTAACGCATTAAAATGGGCAAAAGATCTGAACAACCACTTCTCAAGGGAAGACGCACAAATGGTCAGCAGCACAGGAAGAAGCACTCAGAGTTATCAGTCACGAGAGGAATGCAAATTAAAACCCAAATGGGATGTGACTGCTACCATCTAACGGCAGCAAGTGTCCTCAGATGCTGACAGCGGAGGTAAAATGGCCCACGTCTCAGGAAAAAATCTGGCCATTTCTTATAAAACGAAATATCTACCAGCCCCATGACTCAGCAATGTCATAGATATTTACTCAAGAGAAATGAAAACATGTATCCTCAAAAAGACTTGTACAAGAATATTCTCAGCAACTTCATTTGGACAAAAACGGGAAATAACCAAGTATCTATCCATCAATAGGAAAAACAGATAACAAACACAAAATCCACAGGGGAAAAAAACCAAGAAAAATCTTACAAAAACCCCAAACTGTAGAATACTTTTATAGCGGAACACTACTCGGCAATAAAAAGGAATGGACTACTGATACATGCGATGTGAATGATAAATGAAAACATCATGCTGAGTTGAAGAAGTCTTACACACAAAAGAACTACATGTGACTCCATTTATATGAAGTCCCCAAATAAGGAGAACTAGTGCACTAACTCAGAACAGCCGTTGCTTCGGGGTGACAGTGTTGTATGTCTTGACAAGGGTTTGTACACAGGTGTTTGCACTCTTGCTGGAACTCACTGAATGTACACACGAGATGGGTATTTCATTATATGTAAATTTTGCCACATGCAAAAACAAAACCGCAGAGAGCCATTTAAAAAAGTAGGCAAGCCAGAAAACATATAATAAGATTCAGATGGTGGAACTGTATTGTTTAGCACTGTTGCCTTTACGGAAAAGGGCTCTGATCCCAGTCATAGCATATTGGTCTTAAGGGGCTGCTGCCCACCTGTGCACATGAATGCCCACCAGAGCTTAATTTGTCCACAGAGATGTGTTCTCTCTCTCTCTCTCTCTCTCTCTCTCTCTCTCTCTCTCTCTCTCTCTCTCTGCTGTTTCTTCTCCCTATAGAGAGAGGTCCAGAATAAACTCCAGGCTTTCTTGGTCTTCTGTGGAAATGTTGCTATGATCTTGTTAAATTGCTTCCCAAACAACTGCTTGGTTTTCAACAACAGTTCAGAAATCACCAGAAAGAACTACTCTAAAAGTGTTTAACAGTTAATCTCAGAACATTTGGGTTTTATTCGCTGAATCTTTTTTTTTTAATCCTCGCCCAAGAAGATGTTTCTATTGATTTTTAGAGCGAGAGAAAGAGGAAGGGGAAAGAGAGGGGGGGGGGAGAGAGAGAGAGAGAAACATTAATGTGGCAGAGAAACATCAACTGCATGTGCCCCGACCTACACTCACAACCCAGGCTATCAATAAACCCGACCTACACTCACACTGGCCAGGGCTATTAGCAGAATCTTAATCGTGGGTATTTGCACAGATTTTCTGTCACTTCTGTAATGTTTAAACAAACAAACGAAGTTTTTTCAGATGGCCAAGTATGGGGCTTTTTTGGTTTAGGAAGATATTTTATCTCAAATTTACCCCTGATTTTCTTCAACAGGCAAACAAATAAAATAGAAGCAGATGTTTTGAATGATATTTAAACTGCAAAGGGACTGGGCAGCTGAAAACTTTTCTTTGCTGAAACCTTTACTTCCTTCTAAAGAGCACATGGTGTTCTAAGCTTTGGGAGGAAAGTGACTGTCAGAAAAAGGATTTCTCCATGGAAAACAAAACACATGGTAAAGAAAATCCTTGCCTCCCTGAATGCAGAAACAGCACACAGACATCCCTGGCACCTCGTCCAACAGTGTTACTTAGCGGGAAGTGGCCCAGAAACCACAAAGTTGAAGGTGTACTTCCATTCCGTGTCCCTAAGAACAATTTTGCAAAAATCCCTACCTTCTTCCAGCTCACTGGCCCAGGAAAACTCCCTGAACATGCATAGCAGTAGAATGAGTATGAGCTTTGTAGTCAAGCAAACCCGAGTTTAAAATCTGCTTTGCAGCCTACCTGCTCTGTGACCCTGAGCAAATATTTAACACTAGAGGCCCGGTGCATGACATTTGTGCGGGGGGGAGGGGGGGGGTCCACAGCCCGGCCTGCACCCTCCCACAATCCGGGACCACTGGCTCCTAACAACTTGCTTGCCTGCCTGCCTCATCATCCCCAACCACTCTGCCTGCCTGATTGCCCCAACCACACGCCTGCCTGCCTGGTCGCCCCTAACTGCTTGCCTGCCTGCCTGCCT